TTCATTTCCACGCAGCGAGGCGACTGTCAGTGCAGGTGAAGTCAGTGCTCAGGTGGGACGCACAAAAATCAGTCTGGACCTCGTTTCTCCTGCAGTCTTAGCGCGACGACGCACGGCCGAATGCGAGCGCACTCCAAAGTGCGACTACAATGATCGTCACCCCGCCGGAGCGCGCACAGATTAAACAGGTGGAGTGCAGAAAAAAATAATCTGTAAAGTGTGTAGAAAGGAATAAATATAATTTGTTTTACCACCTTAAAACGAAGCTGGTGATTCAAACACAACACCCAATGGATGCAGATATCTATTACATTAAAGTTATTGTGTGTGTGTATGATTTAACCAGTAGATCTCCCTTAAATTTAGATTTTTATGGGAGACTTTAAAGTGTCCCTTAAAAAAGGAGATTTTAAGGTCTAAATTTTTTTACCTATACATATTTATTCCACTCAGTTAATGTGTGATTTATTTATTTTCTATTATAAGTTTTATATCGTGATATATATCGTTACCGCCACTCATCATAATGTATATCGTGATATGATTTTTGCCATATCGCACATTCCTAGTGAGAAGTAGTGGATCTCAGCAGACAGTTTCAGTTTCACTTTCAGTTTCACTTGTTTGCTTTGTTACTGCTGGGAGCCTGCAGGAGTCATAGGCGGGGTGTGTGGGGCGGGGAGGTGCGCTCCGTGATGAGGAAGCTCGGCTTGGAGACACGTCCCAGAGGCGTTTCTGGTCCCCACCTGTCGTTTTGCTCCTCAGCATGGCTTCCTAAAAACGCTGTAGGATTTCTCAAACATGCACGAATGAGTCAAAGCAAGGCTTTGGGCATGTTTTTTTTATGAGAGGATAACATTATAACATGATATAAAACTCTAAAAGTTAATTTTACATGATATTGCCCCTTTAATAAAACAAAGTGAATACTAAAGTCTAGGGAAGAAAAATACAAATACTCTGAAACATTGCAATATCTTTTTTTAATACTTTACCAATTCAGAAAAGCACTGTATTAGTTTTTGATTAAGGCTTAATGGATGCAAGTTCTGTGACTGGACTTGCGACCTGTCCAACATGTACTACTGGATATGGGCACCAGTGATGCTAAAAAAAGAAGTGGATGGATGGATGTTGTAATAAGAAATGTGAAAGGCAAATGCAGTTCTCCCTTTTTTTCAGTGTTCTTCTGATTACAGAAAATAAAATGATTGTAATCAGATTTTTTGCATTAACCCAATGATGTGTATTTATAGAGTTTTTCATTAGAATCTTTGGAGAAAAAATGTCAACAAATACCACCTTGCTGCTTAGTGTTGCAAAAAAATTACGATAAATCATATTGTGATCATATCACCAAATTCTTGCCAATACACAACCCTACTCAAGTGGTGCAACAAAATATTAGTCTAGTACAGGGGTGCCCAAACATTTTCCTCAAGGGGGCCAAAATGAAAATGTATTGGGGGCTGCGGGCCAAATGCAGTAATATAATACATGAAATACAAATATTTTTAAGTAAAGTCCTTTATTTTTAACCATTAAGCTAGCAGCCAGTGTGGTGGCCCACTTTTGTTTTAGTTTGTGAACTTAGAGAAAGTCTGCCATACGCTCAAGAAGGAAAAGCTCATGGGACATTTAATAAATTGATAAAATATGAGTGTTTGTGGCCTTATAAAGTGCGAAAATCTACATGTGTGGTTAAATCTAATCTAAATAAATCTTGTTACTTGTATTTCATGCTTCATGTTTAATCTTAATATATCAAAGATAAAGTCAACACCATGAGTGAAAACTATCTGCACTACAGCCCCTTATTTAGTCACTTGGCCAATGGATGAAATGACTAAGTGGAAATACAGTTTCTACATAGAACGACAGGTTACAGCCTAGTAACTACTCAACTGTTGGTGGGCCAAATCAAATGGCTTGGCGGGCCAAATTTGGCCCGCGGGCCCCACTTTGGGCTCCTCTGGTCTAGTAGATATGTTTGCAACATACTAATATTTATATTTAGAAACGTATTGCAAATGTAAACATTCGTCCACAAATACAATTTTTTTCATTACAGCAGCTAACTTTAATTATAACAAACAAAAAATACATATACAAGATGGGAGAAAAGACCCGAACCTGAAAATTAAGGTTAACAATTTATAAAATTATATACAACGACAAGATGACATCATCATAACAAAGAAACTAATAAATGAATTCAGTTTCCTTCCTTCCTGATCTGGGATTATCCGATTTAAAATCATTCAGAGGTGTTCCGGATCCGTCCCGTCAGGTTTCCACAGAGCCACGGGCCCGGGCCCAGATGGTTCTGTTTCAGGTTCGGATACTCTCGGCTACAATGAAAAACACCGTACGCTTGATTCTGCACGTACACCCCAGGAATCACTGCGGCTAAAATCCACAAGCCCCGCCGTTTCTCGACATGTATCCGTTGAATTACTGCAGTTAAAATGGACACGTGTAACAACAAACACATGGTAAAACCTGATTCGTTTGGTCAGCCTGAGGGCAAAAAATAAAAATATATATATCTGCTAACCTATATGACCAGAAACTAACAGAGGGCTAACGGGTTAGCTGCAAGCGCTAACCAAGTACAGGTTAAATGTTCGTACCTAAAGTAAAACACATCAATATAAGTTTAGAAACGAGCTGCAGCAAATACAACTTTGAAATGCTAGTCAACAACCGACCATTTCCCCTTATGTTCGGCGCTTATGCTAACATGCTTTAAAAAAACATGTCAACAGACGGTTCTTAGCGTCCTGTGTGTCTGACTAATATGTTTTTACTGTTTTGTAACATACAGAATATTTACTTTTTATGGTGAGAATACAAACTTACACGACTCGGATCATAAAGACTTTTCAGCGAACATTCCCGCAGCCGATCCAGATCACAAGTTAGCAGTTAGCTTGTTGTGTGCTAACCGATCAATAACTCACCGTGCAGAACTGCTGACAGTACTCCGAGGAGGACAGGACCGCAGAACCGGTACCGTCTCTCAGCACACCGTGTAACTCTTCCAGTCGTTTTCGGAGTTCTTCAGTCGTTTCACGAACACTATCCACAGGACCAGGATCCTGCTCGGCCTCCTCATCCGCCATCTCCTCACCCTGCTCCGGCGCGTACTACCCGGACGTCATGACGCCTTGGTAACGTAATGACGCAAGCCTTGGCATTAAACCAAGGAGTCTTCTGGACGACTGCGTCTAACAGCTTTATCGGAATTGAATCCATTTGTCACCCTTGAATGATACGCAGTCGTGTTTGATGCTTTACTAACATAGCTGAGAAATACGTAGTTACTAATGATGATCTAATAAAGATTTTCTGAAGTAGTACGGAAGCTTGTTTTGGGTGTTTCTGATGGGTTCATAAACGAAGCTTTTCAATAGTTTTTGGCGACATCTTGTGGCCAAAGGTACAAACTGCAGCAAAATACAACAACTTGAACTGAAGGAGCTGTACGACATTTGTYATTATGCAGAGGTCAAGGAAAGAGGATTAGGGCCACTGGGGGGAAAAAAAATAGGAATTCTGACTTTAATCTTAGAATTCAGAGAAAAAAGTCAGAATTATGAGATTATTATTATTATTTTTTATAAGTGAAGAGAAAATAGAGACAGAGGG